GATATGACTTTTGAGAATTTTTTTTTTTTTTTTTTTTTCATTCATTTTCATATTTGTGATGATACTATATCTGGGATAGTCATAAATCTGTTAAGAACTTTCATGTTAGACTTCAGGAACTATACAGTTTGTCAAATTGTGTAAGCACCTGTTTATTTTAGAAAACCGTTTCCTTGACTTGAAATTTTTGTGGTCGTGACACATACTACACTTTTCTTTTATTTACACATCTCAAGCGTTTTGACTCGAAAGATTTGTTCCATTGTCAAGAGACTTTTATAAAATATTTTAATAAAATGTGTAACATTAGAGATTCATTGTTGAACAAATTTATTTATATTTGTTTATATATTATTATTTTAATCGTATTGATTGGATTTTTTACTTCAGGTGAAAATGAAAAACAACCTGCAAAACCAGAAGGTAAGAAACATGTATTTATGAAAACAACCATGTATTAACGCCATTCTCTTGTGTATGTTACTACATGATGCATGGATGAATGGAACTGAAGTATTGATTTGAAAAATATAGATACATAACATTAAATAATCCTTTCTATAACAAAGTATAAGAATTGAAAACGAAAAATAATATAAAGGGAATCACAAATTCTAAAAATGAATCTAAATTAACGCGTATTCGGTTTAACGTACGGTGACCTATAGTTGTTAACTTCTATGTCCTTTGGTCTCTGGTGGAGAGTTGTCTCATTAGTAATACAACCACATTTTTTTATTTTTATATAAACGTGTGTGTCGGAATAAAAGTAAGTATATCCTAAATGACATATGTTTGTTCGTCTGCTCATTTGTGAGAGCACAATTCAAAATGAGGAAACATTCTATTGACAAATCTGCATGCATGTAAACTTGAAAACTAATACATGTATATTGTACATGCGTTAAAAACTGAAATGAGCAAAAAGAAATAAATAGAAAATACATTAAAGTTTTGTTCCGTTTGTCAAGAGACTTGTGTAAGATTTGATTTATTAAAATGTGTAACATTACAGATTCATCGTTGAACAAATTTATTTATATTTGTATAAATTATTATCATAATCGCAATGGTTCGATTCTTTATTTCAGGGGGAAATAAAAAACCTGTCAAACCAGAAGGTAAGATACATGTATTTATCAAAACAAATGGGTTTTTTTTGTAGGCCAGCTAACGTGTTGAGCGTTTTAAACAAGACATCGTTTGTTTAGTTTTTAAAAGAAATTACAGAATCAAAAAAGTTTCGATATCAAAATGTTTTCAAATACGTTTACATAAGCAGACAGAAGAAGCAACAAAGAAGACGTTAATGCATATCGATTAAGAAAAAAATAACCTTTCCAAATGCCTTGATTTATTATAAGTAAATTTAATTAATTCAGTTTCAAGAATAAGGAGAATGCTCTTGTAGAAATGCAATTTTTGATATGTTCATCAACGAAAAAGAACATTCAGAAAGTTTTTTCAATTTACCTTGGAATATGTTATGTTTGAAATATTGCGTCCAGTATTTAGACGATAAATAACATATTCCTAGTTCATGTTTTCATTTCAGTGAAAACTACTATATTGTACATGCGTTAAACAATTGAAATGAGCAAAAAGAAATAAATAGAGAATACATAAAAGTTTTGTTCCATTGTCGAAATACTTTTGTAAGATTTTTTTAATATTAAAATGTTTAACATTACAGATTCATTATTGAACAAATTTATTTATATTTGTCAAAAGAGCAAAATAGAAATATAGTTTCTCATTTAGCAATAACATTATAATATACGAATAAGCCGTTAAAACTATAAACAAACAGTTTAAGCAAGATATGCATTTGTAAAGCCAATAGCGAAAAGCAGTTAACTAATAAAGCTAAGCTAAGCTAAGCTGAACAAAGCAAAATAAGTAAGCTAATAGAATAATAAGCAACTACAACTGAAACACTCATTCTTACCTTGTATGAGGTACAAAGGTTATGCCTCAACGTATAACTACATCATATGCAGAACTGTCATAAAACCTGTATAACAAATACTAAATTATAGTTACTATGCACAGACTTATATAGTACTTAAAATATATAACGAGTACATTCAACAATGATCATAACTTTATCATCAAGTATATACTATGTAAACTTTTTATAATTTATTTTGAAATGAATTATATAAGTAATTAAACATCAACAATGTGTAAATGTTATTTTTTTTCAATTTCAAAAAAGAGTACTGAATTTACATGTAAGACGTTAGACTTGAGGTGAACTGTATTTAATTTGTTAATAGATATTAATCAGTAAGGGAACTAAAGAGAGGAGAAATGTCTCAAGATTTTTAAAAGGCAAACCAGTATCCGAGTATTAAAATTGTACTCGAGTGCTCAGTCTTCCGAGTGAGTACTCGATGCCATCCCCCCCCCCCCCCCCCCCCCCCCAAAGAAATATCTGTACAACCAAAAGGTATGATACTAATGATACTAGTTACTATCATTGATTCATATATTTCACTTCTGCCATTTTGTATTGAAAACGACGACATTGTACATGCGTTTACAAAAATTAAAGTGATCAAGAAGAAATAAATATAAAATCCAAAAGAAGACACAATTAACAAAAATGAAGAGTATAGTGTACATCGATTAAGATAAGGCCTGTACCAAATCTCTAAGTTTGTTAGAAGTAAAATTCATTTATTTTGTTACAAGAATTATGGTAACGCTCTTGTAGAAATGAGTTTTTGATACGTCCATCAACGAAATAAGGACATTAAGAAATCACGTTGTCTGTCTCACCTGTCCGATCATATTTTGATTTACTGAGATTAACTTCAAATGCGATCCAACGTTTTGACGTTCCTTAGATGTAAATAAATGGTAATGTATATTGTGCTTGTATGCTTCTTCATTATACTTTTTTCCATTTTACTAATACAACTACTATGGTCAACAGTTTCCTTACAAGCAGGTTTTAAATTGATAACATTGGCAGAACGTCTTTATCTAAAGTAGAATAAAAGATACATACTATGATAAACGAGATGATTTTAATTTTGAAATTATCAATCCCCCCACCTAAGTAGCAATTTACCAACTTCACCTGCATATAGGATATATATTACCCAACTCATTCGGTATTCAAGAGCTTGCAGCTGCTACCCAGACTTTTATAAAACGTCACCAGTGTCTGAGCAGAAAGTTGATGAACCAGAGTTATGTCAAAGAACGTCTCGTCCTTTTAAAAAACAAAGATCATCGGAAGATACCAAGACCTTGTTGATAAATATTCCGTATCAACTTCACAAATAATACATGATGGTCTTAAAGTATAGATTCTAGGTACTGGCGTGTTTTGTCATCTTAATTACGTGTTAAAGTGTTCTTTTATTTGTCTTAGTAAATTATTAACCTTTACTGTTTAGTCCATTTTTGGTAATATCCTTTTGGCGTGGCTCGGTACTTATGCATCCCGCCAATGTGTTTTGTGCTGTGGTAATTTTTTGTATTTTTGTCCTTCATTTCTGCATATGTGCTATGTCTATATGCCATTTCTTTCTTTGTTGACATATTTGTTTGTCTTATAGTGATGAAGATTATAACACATTGTTGACTGCTGTTCCTCTATTTTTGACATTTTTACCTATCATGTCTGTTTGTTTTGTTCACACATTATGGTCAATATAATGGAATTTTATGCAACTATCATACAAGTGAGAGGTTTAGCTAGCTATGAAACCAGGTCTAATCCACCATTGTCTACATAGGAAAATGCCTGTACCAAGTCAGGAATATGACAGTTGTTTTCCATTCGTTTGATGTATTTGAGCTTTTGATTTTGCCATTTTATAAGGGACTTTCCGATTTGAATTTTCCTTGGAAGTCGGTATTTTTGTTATTTTACTTTTTTTTTCGCATGTGTTGAGAAATAAAAAAAGCAAGACATAATTAGATATAATTTCCATCCAAGTATTTATTCGTTAGTAAGCGTGCGTAAGATTCAAATCAACGCTTCTCGTCAGTTCAGTTTGGGTACTGTGACGTTATATTCATCAATTGCATAACGATTTTTTCATTAGTTGTTAAAAATACTTGTAATTATATTGACATTTTTGTCATTGTTACGCTTAATGTGTATAACCAAGTAATAGAAAACATGGAAAAAGCACATTATTACAAGAAAACTTAGAAATCTGTGATTCGTCAAAAGATATTATACCTTGAGGTTACTGAAATGAAAACATGAATTAAGAATATGTTACTTATCGTTCAAATACTAGACGCAATATTTGAAATAAACATATTCCAAGAATTTAAAAAAACAATTTTATAACGTTATAGGTTAAAGTATTTTCCTTTTTCGTTGGTAAAATGTTACACTGAGTACAAAAATTGCACAAAATAGCAAAAAAAGCAGCAGCAATCTTACAAGGTTTTTTTAGAAACTTAACAATTTGTATTTTTTATGATTTGACATTAAGCACGACTTTCGACAAAGCTAAATACATTTAAATATATACAAAACATCCACAGTTTATATTAACAGATGAAGTATCCACTGGAAAAGGTAAAATCTACTGTAAAGTCGCGCTACGACGTCCACCAAATACTAACTTGAGCAATTCAAATATGTTACAGGCATCAATTTCTTCTTGTTCGAATGTTAGGCATTTTTGCACCATATGTGGCACCCATTGTGTTGCTCATGTAAGTACAAACCCATTGATAAGTCTTTTTCGGTAGGTTTCATTCTGTGAAAAGAAGATGGGATAATGGTTACGACAATCGAAACATATCCGTCGTCATCTGTGAAACAAATATTCAATGTCGATCAAGCAATTTTTCAGTGACATATCAACTTCAACAATTAGAACTCTTGATTGTATAGCTACCTTGAAAGCAACAACCCTCTATCAAGGAAATTAAGATGGGAAATGCAAACTCTCGGATACTGAATCTACAGTAAGATTTATATCCATATGTCAATTTGTAAATGTTTATCAATTTTCCCACAGGATATAACTATGCCCTTGGAAAAAAAGCAGCACAGAGTTCAACATGGCATTCAAAATATGCTGCTTCAAAAGCAGTTGATGGAAAGAAAAGCACGTTTACACACACAAAGAACGAAAACAATGCATATTGGAGTGTTGATTTGGGGAAAACAGTCAACGTGAAACAGATCAATATTATTAACAGACAAGATTGCTGTGGTAAGAAGAAAAAAAATGAATTTGTGATAAGATTCAAAATGTGGGTGTGGTAGGAGAGTTTACTTATAATGCCACACTATTTTAGAAATTAATCATATGACAATATGTAAATCATCAAACTATCAACTAAAGTAATTTTAGTTTAGTACTTGTTATGATCTTTAGGAAAACTTAAACATAATATTATATACTTATAAAGTGTTGATTCATCGAACAAAATCACCTTCAAACAATGTAAAAAAATTATCAACACAAAAGTTGACTGTCGACAGAGGTCAAATAATATAATGTGATAGGATGAAAAATTTGTTTGGTTTATTTCAGGATTTTAATAATAAGCCCTTATACAATATCGCTCATAATATTTACTTAATTTCGGTGAATTTTTGCAGATTTTGCCTCTGACGACATTTGCCACATGGATGAACCACTATAATTATTTGTTAGTATGTGTATCTCACTATTATTCGTATTTTTATAAACAATTTATTTTGGTCGACGGTTGAGGCCAGTGTTTTGAGAAGGAAATTGACCTTTAAATTAGATTAAAACGGGGGGGAATGTTGGAAGCTATATGTAGTACAATCTCATACCTTTGAAGTTTCAAACGTTTTAAAAACAAACAGTAGACAACTAATGAATTTGATTCTGACGGAATTGTTTCTCTAGACTTAGACTCTTTTAATAAAAAAAAAAAAAATGAAAATTGTCTGCTTTGTTTTCAGCATTCATAATACATAGTATACCTGTATAATCCAGAACGATCTCTAGGTATTTTTTTTTCATATAGAAATATGAAAAAATACACTGGATCGTATCCTGGTGAGCGAATAGTGCTTTTTAGACTCTATAAGTATATATAAATCTTCCTGTTGATAAAAATGGATGAGATATATATACTTTACGGAAAACAAAGACATGTGTATTGAATTAAAATTAGTTCAGTATTAAAATGTGTTTCATTGCTCAGAGTGTACTAGGTAAATTGAATGCATTCAGTGTCATGATGATTAGCACAGCTAGATGGAAATTTTAAAATTCCATTTTTGAACAATTTATAATATGACTCTTGATATTGATATCTTTTTTACAGGTTATCGGCTGAAGAATATAGCGGTTACAGTTGGACAAAATCCTCATGGAATGAAACTCTGTAATAATTTTAAAGGACCTGGTAAGACTAGACAAGTAATAATGATCACATGTAAGAGGCCAATCTCAGGCCGCCATGTGAAACTTTTGAGAAGAGGAAAAGGATTTCTCACTCTGGCAGAAGTTCAAGTGATAGGCGATACAGGTAAAAATTTTAAGATTTATTAAAAAAAAAACCTAGCATCTTTCTGGTTGTATGTTTGTTCTGAAATCCGTTTTTATTGAAAAACGAAAACCAGAAAATTCGTTAATTTTGCTGTTGAAATTGATGGCTAGATTTCAAAAACTTATGTCGATATGTTATTGAATTATGAAAACCTCAACTTATTTCACTTATTTAAAGTGTTGTTGCTCTTATCCATAAGATTTTACAATGACATTTGTTTATATATTATAATAATGCGGTCTTTATTCTTATATATAATACTCAACATGCTCAATTTGGCAGAAAATAATGTATGATTGATTGATTGCTATTTGTTTAAGTGCTTGTCTCACATAAAAACATGCAAAATTGTAAAAATTGTCCAGAAGGGTGGTTTGAAATTTTCCTAATTAGGTTGATTTTTCAGTTCATAGATGTCTAAGGAATTAAAAAAAATATTTCAGTCTTTTCTAAGTTGAGGCTATATACAGTAACAACCTAATTTGCATATTTCAGTGATAAAGGTCGGAAATACCATTTAAAATTGGTAATGTTTGAGACCTCTAAAATCACCCAATGCCATTTCCACCTAATTTTTGGTTTATGATATGATTAAAATATATATTGTAGATTGTGAAAAGCAATATAATGAAAGAATTCCATCATCACTTTTTCGTATAGGATGCTATTTATGAAGCCTAGATTTATATATTTCATTTTTACGTCAAGTTTGAGACACTGGTTCTCCGTAAATGTAGTAAATAAATGAATGAAATATCTTTCGTAAGAAAATTTGTTCTTAGTTCTACAAAATATAAAAAATCCACCGATGGCAAATTGTTTAAAATACCTTAAAATTTCAGTTAAAATACCACCCAACACCCATTTCCACCTATTCTATTTTTGTTAAATATTTCCAAAATAATCAATAATTTATGATTTAAAAACATGAAAAATATCAGATTGTTTAAATAATAATTTTTATAAATCAAAATTTTATAAGAAAATAAGAAGAATCAAAATAAAATAATATTTTGACACTTCACCTACATTGTATGTGCACCAAAAGATATTTCCCCTGAATTAAATCTCCAACTACAAGTACAGAAAGGCAATAATATCAACAGCAGACCAAAATGAGCAATCCATGTAACTTTTCAACATTATGCAACACAGTATGTTCTGATGGTCCTTCAATCCAACTCTTCCACTGTGATAGGGACACAAGTTCTCATTTGTCACTTTTGCAATGCTCAGAGAAAATACCAGACAGGTGCATGCAGTTTTATGACATCCCTGAGGCCTTTCTTCTGATTTTATATAGAACTGGGATATTCTCCATTGACAGTTCGGCATTGAAACTAAATATATGTGCGTCACATAGAGAATATTTTGGTATTCAATGGAGGAGGAAGCAAATCCGTTGCATTTACCAGGGCCATAGTGAGAAGAGCAGATCTAATGCAGATCGAGGACAATGTCCTACTCTGTGCAAGCTGTATTGGTTGAATACAAGACAGATACTTCCAGTAGGAGCAGGTAAACTTATATTTTCATCACATTCTGTAGTAGGGGTTAGCCTACAGAATGCCTTTAACTCGAGATCAGACTAACCCCAGAACAGTAAGGGAGCAACCATTTCAGAGTTCTCGAAATCTTTTTATCTGCTTGACCACAATTATTTCATCACATTGGGGATCAGAATATTTTTTTTAGTAAAATAACACAACCCTCTCCCCTTCTTGAAGTTAAATGGTCGTTCCCTAACTACATGTATACATCAAATATATAAACAGTCACTACAATGAAGCATATATCGTGTATATAGCACTCAATACAGAGCCATCCCAAGAAGGCGAGTATACACTTTTCTGATCTGGACCTTTTTGGTAAGCCTTGCACTGCTTTACATATGAATCTGTGAGCTTTTAAGTAATTAAAAATATTACCCCCCCCTTTTATGCGAAAAATGTAATTGATTATATAGGGAATCACTGAATCAGGCCCCTCTCAGGCAGTCGGCGAGCCCCACTTATGAAAATGATCTGCCACTGGGGGTCAATCTGTAGCCAAGAATTTTGTTTATCAAACAGTTGTGAATTGGGGACTGAAAGGACTTGTCTTTTTATAAACAGTATATCATTAAAGCACAATATTAAATGAAAGTAAATTGTTGTAAATTATCAGAATGGTAAATATTTTATATTCAATTTCATAATAATTATCAAAAATTTCAGATAATCAAATATTTAAAAAAGTATAGAAATCTAAAAGTTGACTATGGCCCATACATGTATATATGTGCATTTATTTCCAACTAAAATGCCCTTTTCACCTACAAATGTATTTAAAATTAAAACTAAGTTTAACAGCAATAAACCAAAATGAAAATTATCTTTGCAATTCGTAAGAACAGTACTATATAAATAATAATAGAAGTGACAGTCAAGTTTTATGATTTGAAAAATTAACATAAAATTTTAAAAGTTCACTGAATTTCATATGAACTAAAATTAAAAAGTCTACATTTTTTCATATATTAATTAAAATATGTTGATGACAGCTATAAAAATCCAAGTTGATTTGAATCTTTTAAAAGTTGACTTACCATCTATTTTTATTTGTTACCTGAGGACATCAGATGTAATTTGGTTCCTTATCATAATATGTAGGATTGAAATAGTGCAGTTAATAGCTTTTTTCTTTTTTAACATTTTCAGGATTATGCAAGAAATGTGCCACTTTATTAAGAAAAGATGTTTGTAATGAGCAAGTGAATTTTGAGAATGAATTGGGTAAGTTAAAGATTATATGGTAATGTATTACAGATACAATTAAACTTGTATAATCTGACACACATACATGTACCTTGAGTTCAGAAAAAAACATGTTTGTTCGATATCACAGATTGAAAGACAATAGAAGCATAAATGTACCCACAAAATGTGTTAGATAATACATTCTGGAATAAGCAGGTGTCAAAATAGACAATTTCCATTGAAATCAAAGAACAACACATCAAATCCTGATAAAATTCCTTTAATAAATGCCAAACAAATTTATATGCCACTGCTATAAACTCACTCACTTTTGTATTTTAAATGAAGTCAAATTTGGCAAAAAAAAAAGGGGGCTGAGTAAGTAATGCGGTAGGTTGTCCTACTTGGGTACATAGAAAATAAAGATTAAAATTTGTATACAATACACAGAAGTTAGTTTTAATGGCTATGACTGGGTTTCACATTCATTAGTTATATTCACTTATATTGTTGGACAAATAACATCTCTAAGTTCATTTGGTAACCTCAATACATGTACATCTACAATACAATTAATCCCCTTGCCAACACATATACTTATAGGTCCCTCAAGTAAGGTAAAGCTATAATGCCTAATTCTACGTTAAAGGACCCACAACCTTTATGCATTTTAATAAACAAACCTCATCTAAGATTACATATTTATCACAATATAGGAAAATTAACATTCATTTTTTAAATCAAAATTAATAATCTGTCATTATTCCTTTTTTATAGAAGCATTTTATGAAGCAAAAAGGTTATTTGGTAGACCCAACAGCAGAATAGAACAAGAGCATAACCATGGTAATTTTTTAATGTGTTAATAATATCAACTGGTTAAGTTTGAGATCAAATGGACTATTGCCATTACATTTACCATAAAAAACCACTGAAGTGTAGCATGATATATAGAAACAAGTTGATACTGAATTTTGAAGCTCACATGGACACATTTGTGTGGCCCCGCATAACATAAATTATGACATAATTTGTTAATGATAATTCATCTGAACTGATTTTAGTAGAAATGGTCTCTGAAATCATGTTATGTAAATTTAAAAACATAACTTTTATAGCTGACTATGGGATATGGGCTTTGTTCATTGTTAAAGGCAGTACAGTGACCTATAGTTGTAAATTTTTAGTCATTTGGTCTCTTCTGGAGAATTATCTCATTGGCAACCATTTGTTATCTTTATTTGAATGATGTAAATGTACACATCTATTTTTACAAAAGTGTGTTGCTTTAAACATTATACATTACTGGTATAATATATTTTTTCAGATGTTAACAGCAAAGATGATCAAGATATGGAACTTGCTTACAGTCAGTCCAGTGTGACAGGTAAAAACATACCCTGTATTGTATTTACTATAATATGTACTAAGAGGGGGAGGTAACTCTTTTAATATTATTATAGCTGCCTTTAAAAGGAGGGGTGTACTGTTTTACCCCTGCCTGTCTGTCAGTCTGTCCCCTGAAATTTTTGTTAAACTGTTCGCAGAAACTACATTTCAGGGGCTTGCAGAAATAAAGAGTCATATATGAGGAAGCTATACCACATGATATGTTTCAAATGCATCACTCAACAACATCTTCATTACCGAACACTTATGTATTCTTACATTAAAAAGCCAAAAAGACAATTTTCATCGCATTTTCCTCAGGAATTACACATGAAGGCTATCAGAAAATTAGAATCAAGGTTCATGAGACAAATTGTCCTGTACATGTGCCATGATGTAACCTTTAACTTTGATCTCAAAGTAAAACATGTTAGTCTTTACACCTAGGCATGTGCATGTATTTGAGATGGTGGGGAGTGTTTTTCATGTGACCTTTGACCTCAGATGTCAAATGACTTGATTTATTTTTACATTCTTTTCTTGAAACACAGCTTTATTACCTTTTGACATATGCTTTAAATATATTGGAGCATCAATGCAGCATGGTCAGACAATGACTTTCGACCTTCAATGTCAAAAAACTAATTTACATGTAGGAAATATAGTTGTTTTAGGTTCTAACAAGATAACGTCATATATTTAATGTGGCAACTACACAGCTTCATGAAAGTCTCTGATTTATTTTTTTAATCACTTCCACTTTTTAACTCACCTGGCCCATAAGGGCCAAATGAGCTTTACTTATTAATTGGCATCCATTGTCCGTTAACTTTTACAAAAATTCTTCTTCTCTGAAACTACTGGGCCAAATAAAACCAAACTTGGTTTAAATCATTCTTCTGGTATCTAGTTTAGAAAATGTATCAGATGACCCCGCCCATCAACCAAGATTGCTGTCATGGCTAAAAATAGAACATGGGGGTAAAATCAGTTTTGGGCTTATATCTCTGAAACTAAAGCATTTAGAGCAAATCTAACATAGATAAAAATGTTTGTTGGGTCAAGATCTATCTGTCGTGATATTATCACATCCATCAGACAACCAGTTGTTAGGGTGCTGCCCCCAAATTGCATTTGTAAGTTTACCGAAATTTTGCAGCTTTTGTTTATTATCTTGAATATTATAATAGCTAAAGATAAACTGTAACCAGCAAAATTGTTCAGCAAAGTAAGATCTGATCTACAATAAGTCAACATGTACAAAATTGTCAATTGACCCCATAAAGAGTTATTGCCCTTTAAAGTCAATTATAAATTTTTGTAATATTTTACAAAAAACTTCTCCTCTGAAACTACTGGGCAAAATAAAACCAAACTTGGCCTAAATAATTCTTAGGGTATCTAGTTTAAAAAAAGTATCCAATTACCCTGCCCAACAACCAAGATGGCCGCCTTTGGGCTTAAAATAGAACATGGGGTAAAATAAAGTAGATTTCTCTGAAACTACTGGGCCAAGTTCATTACAAATAGAGATAATTGTAAACAGCAAGAATGGTCAGTAAATTAAGACCTACAAACAAGTCATCATCACCAAAACAGAGAATTTTGTCATGAATTCTATTCTTGTCTATAATGTGTGTCCTTTGTTTAATATGCACATAGACCAAGGTGAGCGACACGGCTCTTTGGAGCCTTTAGTTGTAAGTACCATGAAATAATTAACACAGTCACTGAACTATTAATGTCACAGATATATTGGATCTTTCTTCTCATTTAATTTGGTAATTCTTTTTTGCAGACACATTTGAAGGATTTTCTGAGCTATCCTCACAAGCAACAACAATGTCAAGCCAGGACTGGCTTGAAACACAAATGACCACCAAAGACAGATTTAATGCAGCTATGAAAATGTTATCACATTCATTTGAACCTCTTAATTGCCAATTGTCAAAACCATGGAATACACTTAGTAAAAGTTCAAGGTCATATTATTTGAAAAAGACACAGGAGTCAATTAGGTTGATTTTAAATGTTATTGCACCTGGACAAGAGGATGTGCTATTAGATAATTTACAGCAAAAAGAGGTTTCGATTGATTCCACTACTAGATGCATAATTGATGCTTTCCACAATGCTAGAAATTCAAGAACACAGATTCAAATTCTGTCTCTAATTGTTAACAAATTTACCAAACTAGAACTTCAAAAATTGATCCCTGGATTATCTGTGGCAAAAATTGATGGTGCTAAAAAACATTCATTAGTTGTTGGGGCAGGAAACCTTGTTAATCCACCCAAAATTTACCGAACTAAATTAACAAAGCCAAGAGTAACACATTTCATTGAATTCGTCATGAATCCATTATATTCTACCATTATTGGTTTTGGACAAACTATGTTAAAGTTATCAACTAATGAAAAAATGGAAATTCCTAGAGTAATAAGAAATGTAATAAATGCAAGAATTATAAGTAACTACCAAAATTATTGTGAAGAAAATAACTTGGAATCATACAGCAGACCAACATTGTACAGAATTCTCAAAGTATGTGCAGCATCTAAACAAAAAGCTTTACAAGGTCTTGACAATACAACTTCTGGTGGAATGGGAGCAATTGACACATTGCTTAAACTGGTGACAAAACTTGAGACATTTGGTAAAAGTCATGAAAGTGTTGAAAAATTGAAAGACAGTTTGCATGTAATTAACCAGTTTTTGAAATTTGAGTACAAACTGCATTTGAATAAACTAGATGGTTGTACAGATCACTGCACTACATACGCTTTAAGTGACCCTTCAATTCCTGGATTTGCCTCTAGTTGTGAACATCAGCATGATGCTAATTGTGATAAATGCAGTCTTGTTGACAATGTGCTTGACCTAATTACAACAGAGCTTTCTAAAGTTCAAGTAAACGAACAGTACAAGATGATATTGACTTTGATCTTAACAGTGCAACAAAGAATTAATTGGAATGGAAAAGGCACCTATTAAGAACTGTGCATCAAGATGCTGCTAGAAATGATATTTTGAAGAATTTAACACCTAATCAGAGTTTGATCATTATGGATTGGGCAATGAAGTTTTTGCCTGTACAATTCCGTGAGACTCAGTCAGAATTTTTCGGAAAGAAAGGTCTTAGTTGGCATATTTCATGTTCAGTTACAAGGTCAGCATCATCAGATGAGTTAGATCTCAACTGTTACATTCACATACTTGAAAATGGGACACAAGGCTGGTTTTCTATTGCAAATATTTTGCTCCATTTGCCATATTTGCTGGAACAACTCAAGTGTAAGAATTAGTCTCTGGAAGAAATTTATCTCAAAAGTGATAATGCTGCATGTTACCACTGTGTGAACCTTTTAAGCTTCATCCAGCAGAACAACTCACCCTTCCCAATAAGAATCAAAGAATACAACTTTAGTGAAGCTCAATCAGGGAAAGACCTGTGTGACAGTAAAACAGGGTCCTCAAGGTTGCACATATACAGGTATGCAAATGAAGGACACAATGTTCTAAATGCAGGAGACATGAAAAAAGACCTTGAAAGCTATGGAGGTGTTAAAGGAACAAATGTTTGTGTTGTTTCTATTGACCAGGCATCTGAGCATAAGATTAAAAGTAAAATTCCTGGGATTAGTGTATTGAACAATTTTGCTTTCACTGAAATTGGAATTGTTGCAAGAAAGGCCTATCAAGTTGGTTCTGGACAGCTTATACAAACATCAGGAATATCTGACCAAAACCTTTCTACAGAAATGGTGTTTAATCTGGAGGTAAGTGATAGAATTAGATTTAATTAAAAATTATACAAAAAGGGTGCACTGAAAAAAAAATTAACTTCTGTAATGTTTTCCAAATTATTCCTGGATTAAACAATATTATATATCTACCAACAAATTATGCCCTAAATAAGCATGGACTTTCAATGTAAAAGGCAAGACATTTTACTAAATTCAAGATATCTTATAAACTGTATAAAATTTATCATATAGTTAATAACTTAAGGATATTTAATATAGTTTATAAGATATATTATATATTTTATAAGTTATCTCTTATAAGTTATAAGATATCTTGTATAATTTTTAACGTATTATAAAAATTATATGAGATATTTTATAAACTATTATATGAGAAACCTTATAAACTATATAAGTTATCTTATAAATTTTAAAGGATATGATAAAGTATATAATATATCTTCGAAAAAATATAATTAACTTTATGAGATATCTCATATAATATACAAGATATCTTATGTATCTAGTTTATACGATATCTTATGAAGAAAGTTATACAAGAATCTTATAAATTGTATAAGATATCTCATGTATAATATAAGATATCTTATGAAGAAAATTATACAAGATATCTTTTAAATTGTATAAGATATCTCACATGTCTCATATGTAATATATAAGATATCTCATATAATATATAAAATATATCATAAAATATATAAGATATCTCATATAATAAAATATAAGATATCTTAAATATATGAGATATTTCATATAATTTTAAATTTATAAGATATCTTATAAAATTTATTATAAAACTACATAATAAAAGTTATCTGATATATTATATGAGATATCTTGAAGATAAAATGAATAGTAGAACGGTTTGCCATAAATGTACATCACATAGAACATTTATGAACTAGCATTAACAATCGATTCCAAAGTGAGACATAAAAAAAATGTATCCTCAGTGATGATCATAGAAAGTACACTTGATTACTCACCTCAACCTAATGATTGACCTTTTTCATCTTGAAAAAAAATACCTTTGCATGTCACCCTTTATATCTGATTAAAACATCAATCTTAATTAATGATTGGCCAAGCAACATTTATTATTATTATATATATATTATAACTGAGAGCATGTACGATGGTGATTTACAAATCAAGTTGGAGTTTTACACTGTGACTGGTAGTGGTAGGGGACTTGTTTGCCTAAAAATACATTCAGAATAATATTATTATACATGAAATATTTTGTTCAACAAATTTTTGACAATATATAATTTATGTATTTAATGTTTCAGGTCCATGAACCTTTTACAGGTATTCAAACAGCCGGGAAGGTTTCATATTCCAAAACAGCACAACACACAGCAAATGAACCATCAGCTATTTCAGAAGATGAAACCACCTATGCATTTGACAATCAAAATGTAAACTTTTTCTGTTGTCCTGATATTTCCTGTAACAAAACTTTTGCTAGAGCAACAAATCTGGAAAAACATATTCTTTTCGGAAATCATTCATATAGAACAAACAAATCTGGATTAGATACTGCAGTTGAAGTATATGCTTCTATTTCTGAATCTGTTCAGGATACACAAATAAATTTGATTCAAACCGTGAGTGCAGCTACGCAGTCAAATGCAACTAGTAATATGATAAATAAGGGATGGGCTCTAAAAGGCAAAAGAACAAATATTCGCTTTTCACCAAAAGTTAAATCCTATTTAAATGAGATATGCTTTAATTGTGAGAAAACTGGGAAACGGCCAAATTATTTTGCTCTGTCAGATGAACTCAGAAAATCATGTGATGAAAACGGAGAAAGATTGTTTAAGATGGAGGAATGGCTGAATCCTACACAAATTAAAGGCTACTTTGCAACACTAGTGACTAAACTAAAATCAGGAACTATAAGTTCTAATTCTATAACTGATAATAGTGCTGTTGTTCAGTCCATTGAATTGAGAGAAATTGAAGAAAATGTGGAACAAGATGAAAAACTGTATGAAGCTGTTGCAATTATAGATGCAAATACATATAATGAAAATGTTGAAAATTTTGTAGATGAAGTATACACGGCTGTTAACATGTAGTGTCACATAGGTTTTAACTTTATCTGACCAAAAGCAATATAAAGTTATCATTATAATACATGTCAATTATAATGCAGTACACAAGAATTTGAATGGGTAAAATGTTATTCATCCACAGGTCTGCCTTGTCTTTCAGGCCTGTTCTTTTCAGTCAGCACTACAAACCTTCATATATGATAAGAACAAACTACAGGAAATAATGATTCAGTGATTTTTACTAGGAGTTATGCCCTTTTGAACTTGGAATTTTTAGCCTTAAATACACTAATGCAATAGTCCTCTGAAACCACACAACATAATTTGATTTAACTTTGTAGATAATTACATAATACAATGTAGATATGTATATTGATAGGAAATTAGAATTCAATATTTTTGCTTTCAGTTGCCCTTTTGAATTTGTGGCCATGATGTACTACTGCAACAGTTTGTCATCGTGACAGAATTTTATGAAACGTTTGAAAATAGACTATGAGGATGTGCATATCCACAGCAATATTTTATTAGTTGTCTTTTGTAGGAGTAATGAGTCTTTTAACTTAGGAATTTGGTCACATTTTGTTTGTCGAGTGACAACTTGATAATGTGGGGGCATTGGATATTGGAGCTTGTTAAAATTTGTCAGTTTCTATTATAATATCAATGTCAATGCTATATAAACAACATGTATATACACAGGAAAAGAAACTTAGATTAATTGTTGATCCTATGATCTGTCATATGTGAGAAATAACTACGATACAATGTCGCAAAATACCCCATACAAAATAAGTTTGTAATGTTGGTGTCCTATGGGTAAAGCTTGTTAACTGTACACCCTTACTTTGATTTAAGAATTATATAAAGGATCCTTTTTATTAATCTATCCTGTTCTTAAGACTTTCAGACATTTCAGTACTTTTATATGATGTCTTACATTTTTAAAAAGACAAGACTCTCCCTTTCTTTGTATATTTTTTTTACTCAAACTTGCATCAAAGGTGGGGTGCTCTAGGGGCTATTTCTGGTTTACTGATTTGCAGTGTTTCAAATTAAATTGATTTCTGCTGAGAATAATTGTTAGGTATGGGCAAAATGTAAGCTATAATATCTTTTTAATATATTGGCCATTTTCAAAGATTTTTAAGTCAAAATTAGCAAAATTAATTTATTTTTAAATTCTGATTTTTCAAAGAATGTGTTCAAATAAGCATTATTTCAATTAGAAATATTGTTCATATGAAAAAAACAAGAGTATGGTAATATGAAGTGTGTTATTAATATAAACAAACATTATCTAAAATTATGCAGTTTATTCACACATGTGCTCTATATGTGCCCGTCCAAAAACAAGGGAAAATGACCAAAATCTCCATATTTGCCTAAAGACTGGTAAAGTGGCTGTTTATGTGACATTATGACTGCTTAAATTATGACCTCATGGGTTAAAAGCTTATTGTTTTTTATTTTCCATAACCTCAACTTTTAAACAGTCAAAGAAAGAAATCTTAATTCAAAAGTTCATATTTTATATGAAAAATGGCCAAGAATGGCCCTAATTGCCCCATCTCCTTTCATCTTAATTTTCAAGATACTTTTATTTAACCAACTACAGCCCCTTTTTAACAAGAAATCTTACATATAAGCAATTTAAAAGGATTACATGTGTGAAGTATATGCATTTTACAGATATCACAGCTTAATATACCAATTTGATGAAAATCATTTCAGTACACATGTACCCAAATTTTGAAAAATTTTCCTTTATCTCACGATTATTTGCCGTGGGTGGATTTTTTATATGTTATAACCCTTAAGTTAAGGTTTATAGAAAGTCTTTTGATTTTGATTTATTTTCATCATTTATGGAGATACGCTTGTTTCATTTTGTGCCATTTTAGCTCTATGAGCAAAGTGCCTTTATATAGATATTTTGAAATTATTTTGACAGAATGCTGTTCAAGATAAGAAAAAATAATTTTATGGTATGAATCATTAAATATAGTTCTTCTGGAAATATTAATAGAAAAATGCATCATTCTTACTAATAAAAAAATATTTCAGGTCAAAAATGATGAAAATTGTGATTTTTTGGCTATTTGCATATGTAAAATGACATGTAAAGTTTCACCTCCTCATAATTTTTTTTTCTAATAAAATTTTAGAAAAATATTTTGTGTTTTCATTTTACCTATCCATATGTACTGTCTGGTAAAGATTTCATTTGTTTTTGAAAAAAGTAATTTCGGACCATTTTGCATGGTTTTCTGTGAGACTTGCACTTAAAGTCATATGAAACTTCATATTTAATAAAAAAAAAAAAGTTGAAGATGTTTTATATACTTGAAGTTTTACTATAGAACATGTGTAAGTGAACTTTCTTGTAAATTTCTTCATAAATGTTCTGCTATTGAATCATTGTCTTCCAGTACACTAATTCGCCATAATTTTCCCTAATACAATGACCTTTGCTCCGAGACCTCTCAGAACTTCGGCCACCGCACAACGCGTAAACAAAATGTTCCTTTTAAGGCTAGCTAACGTGGTGAGTATTTTCAAGAAGGAATAATTTGTTTTCTAATGTGTTTTATTTTATTTTGTTGTCTTATAAGATCTGAAATAATATTTTAAAAGAGAGATGTACAGAGCAATGTTTTACTTAGATTAGAGTTGAACAAATGTATTCAAAATACATTTTGTAACTTAATATGTCCTCATTTATTTGGCTTTCGTTTGTAGAGGACACTCAAACTTACAAATTACAATTTTAAACGAAATTTTACAAAAATTGAGAATGTTAACACAAGGTCTTTTGGGTTTTTTTTTTTTAGTTTAAAAAACAATTTACAGAATCAAAATCGGTTTGATGAAAGTAAGTTAATCAAGCATATACAAATGTTGCATAGATAGCTAATTGCTTGTTTTTGTCTAACAAATAAATTGAAGGTTATTAACAAAGTTGAGTAAGATAACATAACATTTGAAAATCATGAATTTATTTGTATACATTTTGAAAAAAGTAGAATTAATGCTCTTTTATTTTAGGAAAAAGGGTAAATCCTGCAAAACATACTTGTTTCTATCATAGATTCAACTTTTATTCCTTAATGCCATTTTGTCTTGAAAACTACTTTATTGTACACGTGATAAAAATTGAAATGAGCAAAAACAAATCAACAGAAAATACATAAAAGTTTTGTTCCATTGTCAAGAGACTTGTGCAAGATTTGTTTTTATTTAAATGTGTAACATTACAGATTCATCGTTGAACAAATTTATTTATATTTGTATAAATTATTATCATAATGATTCGATTCTTTATTTCAGGGGAAATTAAAAAACCTGTCAAACCAGAAGGTAAGATACATGCATTTATCAAAACAAATGTTTTTTTGTAGGCCAGCTAACGTGTTGAGCGTTTTAAACAAGACTTCATTTGTTAAGTTTTTAAAAGAAATTACAGAATCAAAGAGGTTCGATATCAAAATGTTTTAAAATACATAAGAAAACAGATCTAGCAACAAAGAAGACTTTAATGCATATCGATTAAGAAAAAATTACCTTCATTTTGATACCTTCATCAACGAAAAAGAACAATATGAAACCTATAACGTAAAAAGTTTTTAAAATTTACCTTAGAATATGCGATATTTGAAATATTGCGACCAGTATTTGGACGATAACTAACATGTTCTTAGTTCATGTTTTCATTTCAGTGAAAACTACTATATTGTACATGCGTTAAACAATTGAAATGAGCAAAAAGAAATAAATAGAAAATACATAAAAGTTTTGTTCCATTGTCGAGATACTTTTGTAAGATTTTTTTAATATTAAAATGTTTAACATTACAGATTCATTGTTGAACAAATTTATTTATATTTGTCAAAAGAGCAAAATAGAAGTATAGTTTCTCATTTAGCAATAACATTATAATATACGAATAAGCCGTTAAAACTATAAACAAACAGTTTAAGCAAGATATGCATTTGTAAAGCTAATAGCGAAAAGCAGTTAACTAATAAAGCTAAGCTAAGCTAAGCTGAACAAAGCAAAATAACTAAGCTAATAAAATAATAAGCAACTACAACTGAAACACTCATTCTTACCTTGTATGAGGTACAAAGGTTATGCCTCAACGTATAACTACATCATATGCAGAACTGTCATAAAACCTGTATAACAAATACTAAATTATAGTTACTATGCACAGACTTATATAGTACTTAAAATATATAACGAGTACATTCAATAATGATCATAACTTTATCATCAAGTATATACTATGAAAACTTTTTATAATTTATTTTGAAATGAATTATATAAGTAATTAAACACCAACAATGTGTAAATGTTATTTTTTTTCAATTTCAAAAAAGAGTACTGAATTTACATGTAAGACGTTAGACTTAGGTGAACTGTATTTAATTTGTTAATTAATATTAATCAGTAAGGGAACTAAAGAGAGGAGAAATGTCTCAAGATTTTTAAAAGGCAAACCAGTATCCGAGTATTAAAATTGTACTCGAGTGCTCAGTCTTCCGAGTGAGTACTCGATGCCATCCCCCCCCCCCCCCCCCCCCCCCCCAAAGAAATATCTGTACAACCAAAAGGTATGATACTAATGATACTAGTTACTATCATTGATTCATATATTTCACTTCTGCCATTTTGTATTGAAAACGACGACATTGTACATGCGTTTACAAAAATTAAAGTGATCAAGAAGAAATAAATATAAAATCCAAAAGAAGACACAATTAACAAAAATGAAGAGTATAGTGTACATCGATTAAGATAAGGCCTGTACCAAATCTCTAAGTTTGTTAGAAGTAAAATTCATTTATTTTGTTACAAGAATTATGGTAACGCTCTTGTAGAAATGAGTTTTTGATACGTCCATCAACGAAATAAGGACTTTAAGAAATCACGTTGTCTGTCTCACCTGTCCGATCATATTTTGATTTACTAAGATTAACTTCAAATGCGATCCAACGTTTTGACGTTCCTTAGATGTAAATAAATGGCAATGTATATTGTGCTTGTATGCTTCTTGTTTATACTTTTTTTCTATTTTACTAATACAACTTCTATGGTCAACAGTTTCCTTACAAGCAGGTTTTAAATTGATAACATTAGCAGAACGTCTATATCTAAAGTAGAATAAACTATGACAAACGAGATGATTTTAATTTTGAAATAATCAATTTCCCCCACCTAAGTACTGTAGCAATATACCAACTTCACCTGCATATGGGATATATATTACCCAACTCATTCTGTATTCATGAGCTTGCAGCTGCTACCCAGACTTTATAAAACGTCACCAGTGCTGAGCAGAAAGTTGATGAACCAGAACGTCTCGTCTTTTTAAAAAAAAAAGATTATCGGAAGATACCAAGACCTTGTTGATAAATATTCCGTATTAACTTCACAAATAATACAAGATGGTCTTAAAGTATAAATTCTAGGTACTGACGTTGTTTATCATCTTAATTACGTGTTAAAGTGTTCTTTTATTTGTCTAAGTGAATTATAAACCTTTACTGTTAAGTCCATTTTTGGTAATATCCTTTTGGCGTGGCTCGGTACTTATGCATCCCGCCAATGTGTTTTGTGCTGTTTTACTTGTTTGTATTTTTTTCTTTCATTTCTGCATATGTGCTATGTCTATATGCCATTTTTTTCTTTGTTGACATATTTGTTTGTCTTATAGTGATTTAGATTATAACACATTGTTGACTGCTGTACCTCTATTTCTGACATTTTTACATATTATGTCTGTTTGTTTTGTTCACACATTATGGTCAATATAATTGAATTTTATGCAACTATCATACATTGAGAGGTTTAGCTATCTATAAAACCAGGTTTAATCCACCATTGTCTACATAGTGAAATGCCTGTACCAAGTCAGGAATATGACAGTTGTTTTCCATTCGTTTGACGTATTTGAGCTTTTGATTTTGCCATTTTATAAGGGACTTTCCGATTTGAATTTTCCTTGGAGTTCGGTATTTTTGTTATTTTACTTTTTTTTCGCATGTGTTGAGAAATAAAATAAGCAAGATATAATTAGATATAATTCCATCTTAAGTATTTATTCGTTAGTAAGCGTGCGTAAGATTCAAATCAACGCTCCTCGTCAGTTCAAAGTTTTCCTGTTGTGTTTTTTTAAAACTCCTTTCATAATAAAGTGGAAAAATGAAAAAAAAAATATAGGTCAATGCGCTTTTTTTTTTTTGTAAGAAGGGCATTTATGGTCACTCATACTGTCAGTTTTGCAAAATCCTGTTTTTTCAAAGAATTTGAACATCTGCATTGAAGTTTTAATTACAACAACAATTCGCAAATATAAATCAACGTGCAGACATCTTATATATTCAGGTATTTCACATCCCATCTTTTATGGTCATATTCTATACAAAGCACACAAATGTCTTCATTCTCCCCAAAAGCAAACCAAACCTTTAAACAGACTTACTCACAAGGGATATAGTTACGATACTGTTGTCAAGTCATTAAAGATGGCATTTTTTTGGAATGAATATTGATTCCCTCATAGAATCTGTGCATCGGAAATAAACACTTTTATTCTAAAACCAGTTGTTGGCATGACACGGGTTATATTCTTCTCGTATAATGTATGATGTCATTATACTAAACCCCTAACGGGAAGGATTGTGGTAGATTTCCATATGATGAAGAAATACTCTTTTGATCAGTTTATTTGAGGCCTCGAGCTATCATGTCAGTCGCTGCTAGTAGTCCTTTGTTAATTTATGTTGATCATTGTAATTTGGCTTAGTTTCTTCTATTAACTATTCTAACATCGGACTCAGACTTCTTTTAAACTGAGTTTTATTTCTTGAGCACCTGAAATCACATACGGTGGGGTTGTTGTTTCTTGTTGCTCAGTCTTTAGTTTTCAATATCGTGTTTTGTTTATTGTTGTTTGCTTTTTTGTCCTTTTCTTTTTTTTTTTTGTCATGGCGTTGTCAGTTTATTTTCGACTTATGAGTTTTAATGTCCCTTTGGTATATATCGCCTCTCTTTTATTATGTGTATTGCTGTTTGTTTGTTTATTCCACATTTGCTTGAGGTATAGGGGGAGGGTTGAGATCTCACAAAACAAGTTTAACGGCGCCGCATTTTTGCGCCTGTCTTGTGTGTTTTTTTAAGTTTGGTTCATTTATATATTTCGGGGCTTAGCGTGGCGTCCAATTCGCAGAACTAGTCTACATTATTGTTTAAGGACCAGCTTAAGCCCGAATCCGGGTATGGGACTTATTCGCTGCGTTGAAGACTCCATTGGTGACTTTTGATTCTTTCCTGCTCTTTGATCAGGTTTATGTCTTTTTGATACATTCCGCGTTTCCATTCTTTATTCTAAAATAAAGAATTTACACTGCATGGACTCGATGATATGTATCAGCATTTCATATGCCTTTTAGTCCAGACGCCATATAATTAACCGTCGAGATGATTTCCGAAGACTGCCGACGGTCATATAATCAGATATATTGATTGATTGATTGTTGATTGCTTCACGACGCATCAGCACAAAAAGGCTATATTGCGGCGAGAGCTACTTTAAATATTATAACAACACTATAACCAGATATGAATATAGATATAAATATAAATATATAGTGAGCACGTGCAATTAGATTTTTCTAGGTCTGTTTGATTTCATGTTATAGGTTTAAAAAAAAAATGTTAATCATCGTTTTTACCTGTACAAGAATGTTTTTGTGTGTATTGAATCAATCAACAAAATGGTTAACCCTTGTTTCACTTTCAATATTAACATTCTTTTTCTTTTAATAGCTGAACACCTCTAGTACATGCTTAACCCATCTCCAGCTAAGGGGTTAAATTTAAGGTCAAATACATATGGAATCAAATGAGGTTGAATTATTGACTTGCAAGTCAATAATACATCAGCGATGTTCTTGTGCTTTTTTTTAAAAATGTGAGCAAAACTGAATGCTGATAACGAAATATTATCTCAAAATTCCGCTTTTATTTATACTTGAAACAAACACAATAGTCTTATAAATGTTTATCTCTAGTAGCAAGATTTCAGTTTGAAACGGCCATTTTAGTATGATGATACCTTGACTGAATTTACCGCAAGAGAAAAACGTTAAGACTTTTCTATATTTTAAGACGCTGTTCCGATATATAGTGTTCAGTCCGTTCAGGCATGTCAAGATAAACAAAACAGATTGTTCTAGCGTACGATTAATTATAAAAAGAAGATGTGGTATGATTACCAATGAGACAACTCTCCACATAGACCAAATGACACAGAAATTAACAACTATAAGTCACCGTACGGCCTTCAACAATGA